CGGTGGGGGTCCGACAGAAAATGACGGCACAATGGAATTATGTTAATAGTGCAATTAAATGTTAATCATTCACGGGCGGCGCAGGATTTAATGATGCAACGCGTAAGAGAAACCGGAGCTAGTTTGGCCTGCGTGGCTGAACCACATTCCATCNCTAAATCTCAGCAATGGTTTGGGGATTTGGACAAACGAGCGGCGATTTACTGGTCCCCNCGAATAGGTGGGCTAGAAGTCCGTCCGGTTGACAGTGGTAAAGGTTACGTGGCAGTCAAAATGGGAAAGCTCAGAATCTACAGTGTTTATTTCCCCCCAAATGAACGACGTTCGGACCTAGAAGAACGGATCGATGGCTTAACAAACAGCATTATGAGTACAGGCCTATCCCCTGTAATGGTCATGGGGGATTTTAACGCAGCCTCGATTGGCTGGGGGGCAAGATACACCAACGTGCGGGGTGAGGTTATAGAAGAATGGGCTGCGTCTATGGACCTGACTCTTCTCAATGTCGGTAGTATTCCAACATGCACTCGAGCCCAAGGCACGTCAATTGTGGATCTTTCATGGTGTAGTTCGGACGTGGTCGGTGAAATAAGCGTCTGGAGGGTTGCCCCAGAGGTAGAGACCTTGTCGGATCACTCTCTCATCGAGGTAACTGTCAGAGGATTTGACTTGGCACGTCGTGGTTATGCTANAGAGGAGAGACAATCTCATTTTGTGAGATGGTCTATAAACAACATGAACTGGGACCTATTGAAAGCAGCATTGATGCTGAAGGATTGGCTGTGTCCACAACCGCTACACTGTAATTCTGAAGAAGCGGCCACCAGGTTAGGTCAACTCCTTGTGGAAGCATGCGACGTAGCTGCCCCGCGGGTTAGGAAGCTCCCCAATAGGCGCCAAACCTATTGGTGGAACAACGAGATAGCTGAAATGCAAAATATGCACCTCTTTAAGGCGCAAAATGGTGAAGTCTCGCAGACAAAGCGACATGATTGATGCTGAGACTGCCAGAGTGGAACTCCGACGTGGTCAACGTACACTTAGAGCGGCTATAGTGAGGGCGAAAGACAAAGCATGGAAGGAGCTATTAACAACTATAAAAGAGGATCCTTGGGGTAGGCCCTACCGTATTGTTATGAAACGATTGAAGGGCTCGGTAAGGGCGGTCACCGAATCGCTGGAAACTAATGAACTAGACGTGGTGATCAACGGCCTTTTCCCCCAACAGGCTAATGCAGAGGGCGAGCAGTGTGAATCTCCTCCACTTGAGGATAGATATATGCTCACCGCTGATGAAATTAAAAATGCAATGCGGGAAATTAAAAATAGGAACTCGGCATCAGGTCCGGATGGGATTTCGATAAATGTCATCTTGATAGCGCTGTCTACTGTCCCGGACAGGTTAATGAGGTGCTTCAATGTGTGTTTTTTGCAGGGATGTTTCCCTGCATGCTGGAAAATCGCCCGACTGGTGCTAATCCCAAAACCTGAGAAACGACCGGGGTTGGCGTCGTCATATCGGCCGTTGTGTCTGTTAAGCGATGTTGGAAAAGTGTTCGAGCGCATTGTAACTCAAAGGTTAGTGGAGCATGTGGATGAACGAGGTGGTTTCTCATCCAGGCAGTTTGGGTTCTGCAAAGGTAAATCCACTTGCGATGCGGTGATGGCTCTAAGGAAGTTTGCGTCGTCCTTTACTGACAACAAAGGAGTGTGTTTGGCAATCTCTCTGGATATCAAGAACGCATTTAATTCTCTTCCATGGCCGGCTATTAGGAATGCTACTGTAACTTGGAGGCTTCCTGAATATATGAGATGTATCATTGCGAATTACTTGAGGAATAGGTTTCTCACATATGGAGATGTGAGTGGAAAGATCCATAAGAGGAGGGTCTCCTGTGGAGTCCCTCAGGGGTCGGTGTTGGGCCCTCTCTTGTGGAATCTGACTTATGATCAGGTCCTGAAATATCAGGTTCCTCTGTCTTGTCGTGTTTTTTGTTACGCCGACGACACGCTGGTGGCAGCAGGTGGGACTGATATAGATCGGGCAATCCGGGTTGCTAACCGAGGGCTTGAGGTCGTTGGTCGAGCCATAGCTGAACTGGGACTAATGATTGCGCCAGATAAAACAGATGCTGTACTATTCCGCCATCGTTGGATGAAATTGCGGCTTGCGTTGGTAAACCTGAATGGAAATAATATAGTAGTGAGTAATAGAATTACGTACTTGGGTTTCATACTAGACGATAGATGGACCTTCAAAGAGCATTTTCAAAGTATGGTAAATAAAGGACAGAAAATTGTAAGTGCACTGGCACGCATCATCCCCAACTTAGGTGGTCCTTCAGAAAGAAGACGGCGGCTGTATTTGAATGTCCTGCAAGCAGTTATATTGTATGGAGCCCCTGTATGGGCTGGAGAACTGATGAAAAATAGAAGGGCGATAGCACGGTGTCACGCTGTGCAAAGATTAATTGCGAACCGTGTTATATATGGTTACCGCACGGTCTCGGCAGATGTAGCCCAACTACTGGCTAGGGCTCTCCCTTTGGAGCTGCTCGCAGAAGAACGAGCAGCAGTTTTCAGAAGATCTTGTAGCGATGCTTTGCTAGAATACGGGCGGCTGAAAATTGAAGAAATTAAAAACACTAGAATTAGGTGGCTTGAACAACTCTGGGCTTCTCAGGTGCCTGGAAGGGCTACAAAAAGTTTACTACTACCAGTGTTTAAACAATGGATGACAAGAAAGCATGGGTACCTGAATTTCCATTTAACACAAATGCTGACAGGCCATGGATGCTTTAATGCTTTTTTATATAGGATTGGAAGATCGGTTTCAGACAGATGCTCCCACTGCAGACTAGAAGTTGACACTCTGAGTCATACATGGGAGGAATGTGAATGTTGGAAGGAGGAACGTGAATTATTAAGGATATAAATTGGCCTAAATCGAGTCACGATGAAGGCTGCAGTTGAGGCGATGGTAAATGAACAAGAAAAGTGGAGTGCAGTGTCACTTTTTGCTAGAAGAATTATGATGCAGAAAGAACAAGCAGAGAGAAAACAACAAGGGCAGACTGCTCTAAGAAGAGGAAGTTCGGCAACAGCACCGTAATGGCATAAGCTAGTATATATTTATGGCTGTTTATTGTTTACATTAGGAACGGACTAGGGGAGCAAGTGTTTGAGGTTTAAAGGATATATGTCTCTCCCTACGTCTTACTCCTCTGCTCCCATCTTGGCTTGTCGGCGTTGTCATGAAGGGAATGACAACGACCATTGTACGCAACCAAAGTGGTATATATGGAAAAGGTTTTTCAACCCTTCTCTCGGAAATAGATATTATCCCTTGTATGGGATAGCGCATGTGCAAGGCGGGGGCTAGCAAGTAATGCCTTTTGGCGTCCGCTAGTCCTCCGCTCAGTTGGCGCGACTGGGGACATCGAGGGGTTTTAGCAGGTAGGCTGGTCCATCTTTGGGGGACTCTCAGAGTACTCCGGACTCCCCGTCTGGGTGGTGGTGGAGGAGGATTCCCCCGATAGGGCGAGGGCCTCGTCTCCTTCCCGGCGGGAAGATGGGAAATGGCTGGGAGATGCCTGGGTGGACCAGTTAGTCTCGCATATCCTTTGCCCAGTTCTCCTGATGGGCGGAGGAATCCATAAAGGATTTCCCCTTGTTAAAAAAAAAAAAAAAAAAAAAAAAAAAAAAAGGTTAGGTTAGGTGAAGTTAAGTTTTGGAAATTCACTTAGGTTAATCTTCGCTGAACAAAAGGCCTGTTGTTCGCGGTTCGCACCACGGGTTCCGCTTCTGGCGACTCGCCACTAATGTAAGCGTCACGTAACTGTGTCATCAGTCCACACTGCGGATTCCGCTAGGAAATTTGAAACCGTTCATATCGACTCGCCGCTAACGTAAGCGTCACGTAGTTCCGACCTCGATCTGTAGCGCCGGTTTCTCTGTGAAATTTGAGACCGTTCATGTCAACTCGCCTACAATGTAAATGTTACGTAGACCAGGCGGTCCGCTAGTTCTGAGAAGACTGGACGGTCCGGCAATTTCTGAAAAAACTAGACGGTCCGCCGATTCCGAGAAGCTGTTGGCAACCGGTGGGTCAGGAAGGGTGGTTGCAGATGAAACGACGAATAGGAGGTCGAAAAATGTGTCAGCGAGAGGAAGGGGAGTGTCAATGTATTGACGAATAATAAATCACAATGAAAGGAAGGGGATAAAAATCCGATGATAATTGGCTAAAGAAAAAAGTAACACCCCGAGTTCAACGAGTATAAAAAAACCGTTTGAGCATCAAAGCGAGAGTTCGTTCTTTTCTTTTTTTATAGTTCAGTCTTCAGTCCTCAGGTGCAAAATTCTCAAGTGCAGTTACAAAAATCCAGTTTACTTGTCCGTCAATCTAACGACCCGAGCGGTTCCAAGTTTACAGTCAGTGAGTTATTCTAGTGGTTGATCAATGAATCCTGAAGAACTACTCCGCTCAAACTAGGCGACTGGTTCCTGACCAGGACGTGCGATGTTTTCGGGTTTCGAGTTAACTCCGGTCTCAACAAATAGTGAGTACTAGATATATTACAAATAAATCCAAGGGTTCTCGCGTTTGTAATTAGTGTAACAAAGTGTTCGGGGACATAGAAATCTTAGTTAAATTACTCTCTGGCCTGACTAACAAAAAGGGAAAAATTTGTTTCGTTAAAGTGGAATCTCGGAACCGGGTTTCGCATACAACCATTTTTAAAAGGCGCGACNGCCGTTACCAATCTCTACGAAGAAGGGCTGCGGCCAAAGTACCAAAGTTGTCACCTCTCCTTCTCGAATCTTCAGTTAGCTTTAAAATTTCGGAAGGGTTTAGTGATAAAACACTAACTGAGAATACTGAACCAAGTGAAAACCAACGGCCACACACATCTATCCATCGGGCTTAGTTGTCCTCTCCACCCTCTCCATCCTCTCCATTTTCTCAATCCTTTCTATCTTCTCCATCTTCTCCATCTTCTCCATCTTCTCAATCCTCTCCATGCTCTCCATCTTCTCAATCCTCTCCATCCTCTGCATCTTCTCAATCCTCTCACTCTCAATCCTTTCCATCCTCATCACTTCGTTCATCTCTGTGTGATTCTCCATCGTATTCCCTTGTAGCTCCCGGAGAGATTCCAAATTTTGATCTTTTCTCTACTTCCCCTCGTCATGATTCTTTTTTATAAATCCTGGAATTCACCTCAGACAACTGACACTCATTCACTCACACACACACACACGCGCGCGCGCGCACGCACGCACTCACGCACTTACTCAATCTATGCGTAGCTATTATAGAATGTTAAAATANAACGTAAATTCACAAAAATAACTTAGTGTCGCGTCAATTAAGTCTGTATCTTTGTCGCGCTAATAAATGTTCTGTATGCTTGAAGAATTGTGAAAGTTTAGTCAATTAGACCTCCGTTCAGTGCCATGTCATTCCTGCATACTTTCAAGTGATCGCCGGGTCTTGTCCCAGGAAAGTTAGATTTGCGTCTAAGTCTTAAAAGGAGACCGGCGGGTGAGAAGACGTTAGTCAAGTAATATCGGTACACCCGTTGATTTGTCTGCGTCACTATATATATATATAAGCATTCTCGGCCCACACACTTGTTTATCTTATCTCTCTCTTTCTCTGGTCTAGTGTGCCGGGCGTAAACACATAGCTTGTCGTGTGCCTGCTACGTTCTCCACAGAACCCTGACCGTGACCAAAGGCCGGGACGTAACATTTGAAAAGAGTTTCCATTATTAGTAAATTTGTTATTAGTATTATAATTTTGTGAAAAATTTTGCTTACGTCTGACGTCGCAATATTGATTATTTTGTCGAGAATTAAAATTCTCGGAAGAGATATCTCGATTTTGTGAATTATGAAGTTTTCTTCTACATTCGTTTTTGCTGTGAACTATCTTTTTACAGTAATTACAAGTTATGGCAAATCCTTAAATCTGTTTGATCTAAATTTCTTTGAATGGTATCTGGATTTTGTTATGTACTTGGTTGCGCTTTGAATCGCATCTTCTAATGTATTAAATTTTTGTGTTAGAAGAAGCTGTGCGGTGTGGCTACGTAAACCACCGAGAAAATAATATATTAATTTGTTCGTTGCAAACACTTTTAGTCCTGCTCTTGCTGCCAAATCGAGATAATTAGAAACCGCAATGATCATATCAGAGTTTAGTTTTCTAGCTCTAAGGAGCGTAATTTTCGATAGATTTGTCTCTATTTTGCCAAAGTTTATTAATTTCTATTTCCCAATAATCAACAGTTTTGCAACTACCGGATTCTTTTTCTAACGCACTACACAAATTGTNGAGATTATTTATCGTAAAGATCGATATTAACGCGGCATCTCCTGTTAACTTTGTTTGCAAAACCGCTTTAAGAAAGAATAGTCTATNGTCTGGCTCGACTAAACTGTGAAGTCCTCTCCAATCAGCCGTGAATTGCGGTACCGGAACA